TTCAAAATGAGCATTAAATCACATTATTGCCTTTGATATTTTATATTTCAAATTTCCTTTTGTTTAGGTTTAGGGGGGATTCTATGATGCATTGGTAGCTACAAATTAAAAGTTACCGTTCCTGTTCTCTTAATCATAATAATGAGTTGAACTTGACAAGGTTATTCAAGACTGGAAAGCAACATAATTATATGTATCGGGCAGGTAAAAGGAGAAGGTTAAGAACAGGGAGATAATAAAAGGTAAATGAAAGACTGTTATGGCTAGCCCTCTATTGTGTGCAAGTCACTGCCAGGCTGGATGGCTCTCCAGCCCAGTCCCTTTCTCCATAGAATCCCACTAATACAGGAACAGACATCAATGGCCTGGCTTCTTTCCCTCATCAGGATACAATTCAGCAGACATCAGTGTTTTCCCCTTTCACCTGAGCGTCAGAGCTGCTTGACTCCAAAGACAGGTAATTAACTATCAAACAATAGCAGGGATTTTCAGATTAATTCTGCCTAGGAAGAAATAGGAAAACTCATTTTCAGCAAACAAAAGGGAGGGGGTGATTAGATGCCCCAGTGACAAAAGAGAGGCGTAGATAGGCCCTGGAAACTGATAAAGAGGCCAAAGCTTTTTTATTATTATTACACTAATATCTCTGTTTTATAAGCTCTGTATTCTTCTTTCTTTCATGCAAACGTGTCTCTAAGTGAGATTAAAGTCCCACAGGTATGCAGGTCAAGGCTGAGAAGTCAGTTTTCCATGCTTGGAAAAGGAGGACTTTCCTAATGTTCCACAGAGAAGCACAGCATTCTTTTGCAACATCAATGCTCACAGGTATTTAGAAACACAGGGCTGTAGAGATATCACACCAAGTTGCCCTTAACTGAGCAGACAATTCAGTGCCACTGACAGTTTTATCCATTGTATATTTTCTAAACTCTGGCTTTTTCCAAGGAACAATGCAGGGAGGGGGCGGGCACTGCACAAGTTCCAAAAGCTTAGTCTGGCAGCAAGAACAAGAGGGCAAAAGGACTAAAACATTGAGCTAGACTTCAGAAGCAGCACTTATTAATTACACTCATAAAGTGGAAAACTGTAAGGTCAAAAGGATGGAAGCCATTAGATCCACATTTTAATAAATCTTAGATGGATCTCCCTCACTCTGTCTTTACACATAATGTTCCAGCTGCCTGACTGGAAATGTAAATCCTTCAGCAGTATTTCTTATTTTTCCTATTATGAGTGGTATATACAAGGCATCTCACTGTCAAGAAGTCCAACCATCCAAATTTATTTGCCTCTAAGGAACTCATGTTACTGTATGATACTTTAGGTGTGAGAGTGTCAGCCTCTCCCAGCACTCTAAGGTAGAAGTCTCAGAATCCTAATGGATTCCTCTCCCCTGCTTTCACACTTAACCAGTCTAAATCTCTGCCTGTCTCCTTTACCTGTGTCTTCAGATCTTCTCTGTCCTAGCTGAGAAAAGAATTCCCTTGTTCAAAAGAAATGGGTGTTTTGATATTAAAGGAAAACCAAAAACAAGCATTTTTTTTTGTTTTGTTTTAATATCTACTCTTTCTCCAAAATTCCATTCTCTTTTCTACGATACACCTGGACTTTGAAACAGAGGAACCATTCCAACTTTAACACCAAGGGCTTGTCCATGCTAATAACAGCTTACAGCACTGTCCAATAAGCTTTGTTGATGAAAGTTCACCCGGGAGGAAAAGATGGTGCTTAAAGCTGAAGATCCCGCCCACAGGTCCTGAGCTCCTGGACTGGTGCTCATCAGCACCAGGAATTTGGGGTGAGGTAAAAATGCACAACTTATTTGTTCATAGGTTATTTCTGCATGCTTTAAAGTGTCTAATGAAAGAACAGGGCAGAAGGGTCCCACATTTCAGATATTTCAGGAGCATTTGGAGTAGGGATTCAGCCAACAACATCTATACATCTGGAAGGTAAATTTCCAGGAAAGAGGCTGATCTGGCCAAACGTTGCATACATCCATCTTCTCCACACAAAGGTAAACAAACTTTTCACAGGCAGCTCTTTTTCATACTTACATACTAAGTGCCTGGCTGGGGGACTAGTTACCTGGGTCACACTGAGTGGTTATTTACTATATGTTGGAAAGTAGGATGGAATGATGCAAAGATGGTGCCACTGTCTGTAACAACTAAACACAACCATGAAGAAAGAGAACTTAGTATAAAGAACCAATGGGGTAAACGGGATATTTGATAGTCAGAAATGTACACATTGTCCTAGACCCTAAACAGAAAGCAGGATACTGAGAAAATGCCACTATCTTCCATGTGAGCGTATTTATATACAATGCAGACTACACAGAGAGAAAAATACATACACACAGGCAGACTATCAGGTTAGTTCTTTGCTTTTGCTGCCGTTTTTATTTTTCTGTTTTCCAATGATCACATCATTCCTGAAAACATAGTATATCTGACTTGTGTTCCAGCCACGCTCCGCTGTGTTGAAAAGCAGCTTAAATCCAGACAGTCAGCTTCTGGTAGGGGAATTAGGGTTCTGTTCAGTATAATAAATGATCCCAAAATAAATATATTTCTTTTTTTTTAATCCTTGATGGTAGCATATCCTCTTTCCAATGCAGAGATGGAGGAGTCAGCTCTGTTTAGTTTGTGTGATTGCTTTGAAGAGTAGGTACAAGTTGACTCTGAAAAAACTATGGTCTTCTATTCATTAAAGTGTCAATAATACTCGGTCCAGGCATATTGACAGCAGATTAGCTTGGGCTGATTCTGTGTACAAGACCAATGCCTTTCTTAACCCAGCTTGTTTCCAGATCAATACACCCATCAGCATTTGAAAATTAGCCCAAGATGAGATTCCAATACCCAAGGTGATGTGTCATGCTAAGAGAGCACCTGGCCAAGGAACACATGTAAACACCTACCTGAGAATTAGACATTCTCCATTAGTTTGGACATTGGCAGAGATGAATGTGGACTGTAGAATTTCACCTCCTCCCATCACCCCTTCCCTCAGTTACTGCCCAACCTTCTCTCTTGCAGTCCATGCAAGTTCCTTGTGCTATGATTCCATCCATTTGTTTTGATAAGCACATATTAAATATTCAATTTGTTTGAGGCACTCTACCTAGTGTTTAAGGCTGGTATGTGTAAGTGCACAAAGGTGATTTAAGAGAAAAAAAAAAGACAAAAACAAGATTTCTTGTTTCTAAGGGCTTCAGCATTTTTCATAATTCCTTTCATTTTCTAGCTCCATAAAGGTTTTTCTTCCTAAAGCAACTGTCTGCTCACAGTTCTGTCTTTCAGCATCACAGCTGATATTCTTTCCTAGGAATGATGTCAGAAGCACTGCCTGTGAATGTTCTAGAAGAAACCACTGTAGTATTCACCAAACCTTCCTATACAACAGTCATCCTTAAACTTTAATTTTGTCCATTTACAATAAAAATGCATTTTCGATTAAAAACATAGACACACTGAAACAAAGACCTCCCATGGCAATATCCCTGTGCTGTTTATAATACACTCTGACATCTTCTGTGAAATTTTATTTCAAAATGCCACTTGTATGCAGGATATAATATTCTTTATAGAACCAACCAAAGAAAGAAAGCATCATCACTTCCTCTAGTGAAGAGTAAGAAACAAATAATAACTTGTTATGGCCATTCTCTGCCCTAGCATGATGGTTTCCAAGGTCCACTAGCTTCATCTCTGAATGAGCTGGCCCTCACCACCCCTTTTTCCTCTATCTTGTCCTTGTTACTGCTCACTCCCCTGTGCTCATCAATGATCTAAGTTTTATTTTCTTCTCACTTCTCACAGCTAGCAGTCTTTTAATTCTTCCAGCTCATTGAGCTCTTCTGAAGCCATCCTCCTTCCTGTTTTTTCTCTAGCCAATCCTCCCTGGCTATGGATCACCTTTTTCTCAAGCATACTGACAGGGAGCATTGGCTGTACAATCCTCCAGGAGATGTCATTGCCCTGCACCTGCCATTTGTCTGGATGAATGGAACCTGGAATCAGGTTGGGACAGACACTGCAACAGAGCAGCTGGCACACCATTACTCTATGGCTTTGGAGAGTAAAACAACTATCGATTCAAGGGTACAAAATGCTTAAAAAGTTAAAAAAATAACCACAGTGTTTAGCAAGCATATAGTGACGTATAACCTAACATGTAAATTGCCTTCTATGGCCTTCCATTGAGTGATTCACATGTTGCACAGTAGACTATAATCCTCATCTGGCTCCTAAAATTGACCTTATTTTATAGAAAGAGACCCTGAGGCACCATGATGACTTCATCAAAGTCTCATGTCTGGAAAGCTCCCCAGTGTGGCTCTAAGACCTTACTACCTAGAAACACATCCACATGTGAAGTATTGTCCAAGTGGCTCAGGATCACTTCCACTTTGTGCAAGGAGGAAAACACCAGTCTCAAGTTCTGAGAAACAGAGTAGAGCCCAGAGAAATACACACATATCCACAAAATAAACAAATGCATGAGCAAAAACCAAGATGCATGAGGTCTCAAAAGTGCAGAATGGAGAGAGAACTGAGAACTGTTGTGACCAAAACAGAGAATCTGACACAGGTTTTAAAGCAGGGACCCAAAACTGGAAACCTATGATCTTCTAGGACATGGCATACAAGCAGTATTAAGAGTATGAAAATGTTGGTCTTAAAATAAAGCTAGCTAAGAGTTGAATAGAATATCTTAAAACACTTAGGGGAGAAAAAAGCCAAAGGAGGCAATAATTAGAAGGTAATTTTTTAAGAAAATACACTGTTAGAATAAAAAAAATCCTAGTCCTACTCAATGGGCAAATGACTGGAATTCAGCATCTAAGTGCAAAATGCAACATGACACCCAGAGAGATATTCTCACTATAGAGAAGAAACAGAACTCAACTACATCAACAATCATAAGGAAAAAACAAGATTTCAGGCAGGCTGCCTGAGCTCCCACTGGCCTACCCAGCATGCCCTACCCACCTTGTACAATGAGGTGAACCCTGGAGGTCTTTGGGTGGTTGTCTGTCTGCACAGAGCAAGTGTATGGGCCCTCGTCGTACACATCCACGTTCTGGATCTCGATGCTGTACTGGGTTTGGGTGTTGCTCAGGAGGACCACTCGAGGGTCCAGGCACCACTTGTCATTTCCAGCATAGAGGATGGTGCTGCGGTTTAGCCAGGCTACCCGGGTGACCCGGTTGTCGATTGTGCACCTGAAGGTAAGACCAGACAGATATGTTAAAGGACCAGAGAGAAAAAAGTGGCCACCAAAGTAGCGTCTTCACAGAAAGGCTAAATGTCTTTCTATCATGCCTTGTGTTATCCCTTCATTCCCAGGATATACACATGTTTTTATTTCTTTTGTTTGACCTCTCATGGATGGAATGCTCTGGAGCTCAGTAGCAGACTTTTGGGCTTATTTCCTCAGAACATTGACTGCCTCAGACTTGTAGGTGCGGAGAAGTAATAAATGCTTCTGACACCATCCAACCAAAGGATCTCTTCAAAGCATCTCAGTCATAACCTGGGGATGACTTGCCTGCACAGAATGGCTGGACTCTCCAAGGAAGCACTACTGGCCACCCCTTGGTTCCAGGGTTTCCATGATGTGGATGCTGGACTACTGTCCATGTGTTGCACTACTGTCCATGCACTACTGTCCATGTGTTGTACATATACCAAGCCCTTCAGTGCTTACAACCCTATGGAGTCTGTGCTACTGGAAAAAGATTCAGGAACAGGGAAACACTAAATCTCCAGTTCACACAGTTAACATGTGCTAGTGCAGAAACCCAGCTTTTAGCTACTAACCATTATTCCACTTATCTTAGAATAGCAAACTCCAACAGATGGCTTCTGAAGTCAAACTAAATATGGACCACCACCATTGCTATTTACCTTCATTATACCCAGGGGCAGAAATGTTCAATTATTGCTAGACTAAAGGCATTTTCCAAACTGTTTGCACATATGAAAATAGATTTCTTTTTCTTTTATTTTTGCATCTGGAGTCCTCAAATTGTGGAAGCTTCCTTCTCTTTTCTGTACTTTGAAATTTCCCAGCAACTCTTGCCAAGTCCTCCTTGTGTCTTTCTGTCTGCATTCATTTTCCTCTCTTGCTACACCCAGTATGTTCTATGGCCTTAGGCTAAATTCACAAACTCAGTGTCCTGATCCTAACTATAATGCTGAAAATAACAGTGTTGCAAGGTATGTATAATGATGCCTCAAATTTATACATTCTTCTGCAATGTACAGGGCACTTTTCCATTCACTCTGTCTCATTTGATTCCTGTAATATCTGTTAGGCAGGTGTCCTCACTTATTCTCTGTTTTACTGACAGGTTTTAGAGGTCCAGGTGGTCTAGGTCTTGCCCAAGGTAAGGAAAAGAAATAGCAAGAGTCACATCTTTTAGCCAGGTTTTGGAATCCTAGTTGTGAGTATGCTGCAAAATGTACAAAGGTGAACTGCTGCAAAATGTACAAAGGTGAATTTTCCACTGGGAAGGGATTTTTGCTTTTACTGAATTGTTAAAGTGATCTATGACCATAAAGCAAACAAATAAATGAACAAACAAAAGACCAATGGAATCTGTGAGCTACCACTGACCACCACTGCACTGCTATTTCTGGCTTCCGTAGCTAATCTCACTCCAGACAAGACATCCTGTACTCTGCATTCATTCTGCTTTACTTGTACAAATGTCACACCACTAATGGACATCCACTTACAAGCAGGTGGATGTTTTGCTGAACGGTCCTATGGGGAAACTACCCAACAAGAAATATGCTTGCTCTGGTGCCCAGCAAGCTTTGTGCTGAGTATCACATTTTCTGGCAATGCAGTCAGATGCCGGCCTTTCTGGTGCCATTCTCGCATAAGGCATATAAGTGACCAAAGAGCTAACTAGGGAAATATCAGATGACTGTCTCAAGAAGTGAATAAGGACCCCTTACATTAGAATCATGGAAGATTTCTAACCTCTTTGACACTATATTTTTCTGATTCAGAACCTTTGCCAGCCCCAAAATACAAATTCTTAGCAGTAATACAAGTTTATAACAGTAACCCAATTAGGTCATGTACAGGCTAGATTTTAAAGACACTGGTGTGGAACAGTACATCTAGGACTCCCTGGGTATGGTGCAAAGTGAAAATACAGACCTTTGGGCAAGAATTAGAAAGCTTTTCAAGAAGGTGAGAGTAGAACATGAAACCAAATATGGGTCCTTGTGCAAATAAACAGTCACACCACTAGTCTGGGCACTTCAGACGTGCTTGGGGATCTTGCTGTTGTGCAGATTCTGATTCAGCAGGTCTGAAGTGGGGCCTGAGATTCTGCGTTTTACACAGTTCCCACAGGGTGTCAGCAATGACAGCTCTGGACCATTCCTGGAGTAGCATTTCTGTGGAGGTAAATTTTGTGCACAGGAGCATTTGCGAAGCATTAGGACAGTACCCCACTATACAAAAGTGTGATGTGATGGGCAAAGGGCACCATGGAGACTTCCTGGGAACTTGTGAGAATTACAGTGTCTCCAGACCCACTGCACAGACAATGAATAAAAATCTGCATTTTAATAAGATTTTCAGGTGACTGTTACAGTTTTTGTCTAAATATCCCCCCAAAGCTGCATGCAGTCATGGGTGGAAGGCTTTTTCAGAAGGAGCTGAATCTAGAGTTTGTGACTCATTCATTGTGCAATGCTGGGATTAAGAAGTTGGGATTAAGGGTGGGTGATTGATGGATCAGTCCATTGATCAGACTGGCGTGACCCTAATCTCAGTAAGCTAGATACAATATGAGGGACAGAAAGAGGCTTGCTTTGCTCTCTTGTTGCTTTTGCTGTCTTCCACTGTCATGAACTGTTGTCCTTCTGCCACGTGCCACCTTACCTTGGAGTCAACCAATTATGGACTGAAACCTCTACAAATTCTGAGCTAAATAAACCTTTCCCCCTTTAATTTGGGGTGTTGAGTATTTTGTCTCAGCAATGAGAAAAGTAACAAGACAGTAACTCAAATTCACAGTTATGGTTGATGCATTGTGTCAACCTGAGGAGTCTAGAAGTTAAACTAAATACTTCAGCAGTTCTACACCCTGGGGTGAAAAGAACATGCCCTTTCTGTTCTAGGATGCTGTTCACGTGTCAACTTGAGAAGTTTAGAAGGTTAACTATGTAGCTCAGCTGGGAGCCAGGGTGCTTACTTTGTATTCATCCTGAGCCTGTGCAAGAGGAGGGTACTGAGATTGAGTGGGCATGAACAAATAGCTGGAATACAATACAAGGGAGGAAAAGAGGCTTGTTCCCCCCTCAGCCCATTTTTGCTCTTGCTGCTTCTGCTGTCTTGTGCTGCCTTAAAGTGTTGCCCCTGTACCCTGCCACGCTGCCTTGGAGCCAGCTGATTATAGATTGAACCCTCCACAAACTGTAAGCTAGATGAACTTTTCTTTCCTTAATTCTGGGTGTTGGGTGTTTTGTCTCTGCAATGAGAAAAAGTAACCAAGACACACACACAAATATTAGACTGGTCTAAATTGTACTCCACACCTTCTTTTTGGCTTTGCTGACAATACCCTGAATATACTTTAAGACTGAATGAGCCAGAGAGAAGTGCAGTCAACAGAAGCTCCTGATGTCAGTGGTCCCTCCCCAGGTCCTTCACAGAGCCAGTGTAGTTCACCTTGGGCTGCCTTTCTGAAACATGGATTTGGAACCAGCTTGGCTTGAAATTTATCAAGAGAACAACACACTCTGTGGCTTACTGAACTAGTGCTGTACCTGGGATACAACTTATGTTAATATCTCTGAGGTCAGTCACTGCTTTGACTATTACTTGGGTCCAACCAGAGGATTGGTAAAATTTACACTGATAGCCAGTGCTTGTGGAACACATATTGCTCTATCCTACGTGGGTTGTGAGCTCATTACATGCAGTGTTACCACAGCAAAAATTTGGTTGTATTCATTATTGTTACCAAGTGACAGATGAGGTCAGCCAAGGCTGAAAAACACCTAATTGACTATAATCAGACTGATATTAAGCAGCAGAACCAGGATCACCCCAAATTTTATTTTGTCTTGTTTTCCAAATATTGTGACCTTAAATGTTCTATAGCAGTGTTGGAGAGCCTATACCACGTGTGCCACAGCAGGCTGTTTCTTACTGTAAGAAGCTCTAATAGGTTTGGCTTCATTGTCCTATGGGGTCTCAAAAAAGAATACCTACTCACATCAGTGGTTCCCAGTCAACATGCCTTCAAGTCACAGGGACAACCTAAGATACAGCAGTCCTGAGTCCCTGTGCCAGGTTTCTGATTCAGTGTTTCTGGAGTGGAGCCTGCAGAGCTGCACTTGTGACATAATCCCAAGGGATGCTGCTGCTGCGGGTCTGGGGACTACATTTTGAGAATCATTGATTTAGATATGCGGAGTGTAGTGAGACAAGAGCAGTAGTGAATGGGCCTTGGGAAATGACTTGTCAGAAACACTTTCCCATTGCTTCACAGGAGAGAACTTCCCTGTTAACCAATACATCCGGGGAAGTCAGAAGCAGATGTTTAGGTAGTTTTTGCTCCCAGTAGCTGAACTCTGACCAGACACCAGTTAAATATCCATGGTGCAGAAAACAGACCAGCAGAATCCACACTACGTGAATAATTGATCCCCTAATGCAGGCATCTTATAACGCAACAGGAATTCAGGAGGATCATCCCTGGCTACCTTGTGAACATCCAATTATTGAAAACTGACTGAAACGGAAGTCTTCCCTCCACACCACATCACATTACAGGGCCAAAAAGACTCCTCTGTAGATACAGGAATGCTCAAAATGCAGCCAATTTCCAGTACAGTTCTGAGGCCCCTGTGATATACTACACTGAAAGTTGGCATAGCATCAGCTGCGGTTTTGGGCACATCCAAGGTCATGTTTAGATGTCCAAACTGTCAGTGCTGGATATCAGTCTTGCTGAGTCTCCGCAGAATTAACGCTGGCTTCTGCAGAGATGGATCACAAAGGTAACCTGGCAGCCAACTCCTGTCACCTCCTCATACCTGCCCCCATCTATCTGTCTCATTTATCCAGTCTCCATAACAATGCAGAGGAGACATTCCTTCCAGGTTAAAAAGAAGAAGAAAAGAAGCAAAAAGCATAATTGTTCTCCCAGCCGACCAAATGCCTTGGTTGGTGTGGAGCAGGGAGAGACTT